TGGTGGGTTGCCCGCTTTGGTGTAGAGCACTTCAAATGGTGGGCAGAACTGCCCTGGTCAGGTAGGTGGTTGGGCAGAGGTTCCTGCAGCAGCGTGGAATATTGGTGAATGTTGGCCGAGCTGCCTTAGGCTGTGAGGCACTATGGCTGGTGGGAGGAAGTTCCCTCAGTTATGTGGGACCACAAAGCATGGATAAGAGCCCCGCCAGCCACGAGGAAGGATTTACCCCAAAGAAGGTGGGCGGTATTTTCTCAGCCACGTGTTAAGCACTGCCGAGGGTGGGCGGGCGGAATTTCCCCTCGAAAAAGTTGGGCGGGATATTCCCTGGTGGATGGTGGGTAGGTTTTCCCCAGACCCGAGTTACGCTTCAGAGGGTGGAGCTCTCCCAGCTGGCTGGAGGGGAGGCATAAATGCCCTAGGCTAAGGGGAGTGGTCTGGAGATTGGCAGAGATGTGAGAGAAAAGGGAAGAGAAAAAGAAAAAAACAACAAAGTCTGCTGAGACTGTGGGGGCATAGAGAGGAGAGAGAAAAACAAAAGTAACAATTTAGCTGAGTCCTGATCCCTCACTGTGGGGCTGGAGGTGTTTAATCCCTGGCCCGAGGTGGCGGCAAGCTATGGCTCTCTTGAGATAAAGCCCCTGTGCTGGCTCCAAATGATCCCAGCTCCAGCAGCTACAGTGGCAGGTCTAAGGTCAAATCCTAGCCAGCCTCCACTGTGGTAAGCCAAAAGCCCCCAGCTCCTCAAAACCTAGTTGATCTGTGTCTACTTATCTTTATGATGCTCCTCCTGCAACCCAGTAGTGTGGAATTTCCCTCTTAATAACTCTCCTGCACTGATTTCTGCAGAGTCCCTCTGGTATGTGTTACTCAGTCGCCATCTTCTCGGAAGTCCCTTTCAATAGATGTTTTAAGGAGTGAAATACAAGGCATGATTCAGAGGCAATGGATCACATACAGGTTGCAGCAAGACTACTAACATTAACCTTAAAACTAATTTTCTAGTGAGTCAGCATCCTGTTCTGTAAATCTTTGATGTTAACTCATTTCAAAATCAACCTTCAAGGCTAGGGTGGGATTCGTACCATATTTCATATTTGTGTGCTCTGCAGCCAGGACCAATCAGGGGCTTTAATAACAGTCTACTGAACACCTACCCAGATAGGAAGGTATACCAAGTGTTTCCAGTGTCACCATCTATAACAGTGGTTCTCAAACTTCCTAATGCCGTGTCCTTTAATACAGTTCTTCATGTTTTGGTGACTACCCAACCATAAAATTATTTTCGTTGCTACTTCATAACTGTAATTTTGCTACTGATATGAATCGGGCGACCCCTGTGAAAGGGTCATTCCACCCCCAAAGGGGTAGTGATCCACAGTTTGAGATCTGCTGATCTGTAAGATGCCAGGGCCATGGGTATATTTTGAAGGTGACCTAGCAACTTGATCAACTACAAAGACTCTGACATCCTTTTTTGGTAGAAAGCGGGACCAGAAATGACACAGAGCCATCCAATACTGACTACAAAACTTACCAAATTACTGTTTACCACTGGGAGGTGAGGTTTACAGGTTTGCAACTCATTTCACTGGGTAACTTACGCACTGCCTTCCCAAGGCCTTGATGAAATATTTTCCTACTGTCAATTTTATAAACTGAAATTCTGCATGTGAATTGTACTTCTACGGAGTCTTTGAAGCCTGTATGGAAAAATAAAAGGGCAAAATTTGGGGGCTAGAACCACATTATGCGACATGACATATCCAAACAAGATATGATTGATTATCCAATATTGACAAGCATTGTAGATACCCACCTCAAGAAGGCCAAAAGAAGAAACATTCAAGAAAAGCAAATACTAAAATAGATTGTTAGAGATCCCTAAACTGAACTATTCTACAGGGCACAGCAGACAAACTAGAGGGGCAAATTGTATGAGATGTGTGAAGACTGCTGACTATGGCTGCGTACTGATGGTGGTGGGAGCACAGGGGGCGCAATCAACTGATCCTCTCCCTTCCCTTGTCCCCTATCCCAGGCCAGGCCAGCCACTAGGTACAATGCTGGAAGGGCTACAAGAAGAAATAAAATACCAAGCAGCTATAAGTCTGTTCCTTTCTGCTCCATTTTATATTGAAATTGTTGTCTCTACACAACATGACAGAATGCACAGATAAAATCAGGTTGACAAAAAAACCCCATGCATGACATATTGTTCTATGCCATACAGTGGGTTCAATTTTGCATGTATTAGGCATGCTGTAGGATAAAGAACCATATTTCTGTCCCTGGAAAGATCCGAAGGAGCCCTGGTGATGTAACGAATAACTCGTTGAACTACTAACCACAATGTCGGCAGTTCAAACCAGCCATCCCTTGGGAGAAAACTGGGCTTTCCACTCCCGTAGAGTTACAGTCTCAGAAATCCACAGCGGCAGGTCTACCCTGTTGTGTAGGGGTGCGAGGTGTCGGCACCGACTTGGTGAGTGAAAGGATAGATTAGACAGAAAAGTAGCTGACAGTACATCACATCTTACAGAATGGTGAATTCTAAAAGGTTAACTGTTTTATGACATGATGAACTCAAATGTGACAATGCTAGGATCTCTGAAATTCATTAAATTAATCCCAAATCATTGATTAGAGGCAGCAACAAGGCAAGAGACATTAAAGGGAGCACTTGTACATCCGCCAGTCATGTTACTTTTTTTAATCTACTTTTACAACAATCATCCTCTTGACTCCCCAATTTATTCCAGGTAAGCTCTAGAATACACCCTTTCATCTAAAGGGAACAAGGGTCCTTACTGATTAGAGAATTGACTAGAGGTGGATGGGGAGCTGGTGGTCAGCTTCCCGTTCTAGTACAGATGGAGCATCTCTCCTCGGATGACCTGTTTCTGTAAAAATGATGTAAAAAATTTTTGTGAGTCTAGTGTATGTATAGCTATTATTAATGTAGTACTAATTGAGGGTTTTCTTGGTTAAAATTTCTGGCTGTTTTCCTGCTGTTAGCGACCATCAAATGGGCTCGGCCTCTGGTTCTACGCCATTTTGATCACTGGTATGCTTGAGCTCATTGTTGCTGCTATTGTATTAATTCATCTCATTGAGAGTTTTGTTTCTGTTGACCATCGTTGCTACCAAACATGATGGGCTGTTCGAGGCAGTGGACTTTCCTAATGTCGCACCCAAAATAATAAGCCAGATAAAATGCTACCATCTTGTCCCTGAGCAGCACTCTGGCTTTGCCCTCTTTTACTCACTCACTGCTATCCAGTCACTTCGGACTCATAGGCACGAACAGGATAGACCTGCCCCTGGGGTTTTTTGAGACTGCAATTCTTTTAAGGAGTAAAAATTCTTCTTTCTTCCGCTCCATGGAGCAGCTGGTAGTTTCGATCTGCTGACCTTGTAGTTAGCAGCCCAAATGTAACCCACCAGATTAAATATCAAGAGAAAGCAGAGAGAATTTGCTTCTTCAATCTAATAATTAGGTTTGTGTGACATCTGTCGTCTTCCAAGAGAAAATGCATTGTAAAAATTAAGCTTGGTTCCTTCCCCCAGAAAAAAGGGACAAACCCCGGCAGCAACAACAAAAAGAATAAGCCAACTGGATCATTGTAAAAGACATAGCTGCCGGAGCGCTCAGATCCTGCTGGGGAAGGGTCCACACCTTGCTGCTGTTGGCTCGGTTCTGGCTCATAAAGGCCCTAATGGATGGAGTAGAAGTGTCCCACAGGTGTCCCAAGACAGCAGATCTTTACAGAAGCAGATTGCCACGTCCTTCTTCTAGGAAGCAGCTGGAGAGCGCTCAACTGGTACACTATCAGGACTCCTTTGGTGGGAAGGTAAATGGTACATTCCACCACTACTTGGCAAGGTGTCCTCATATACAAGGCTCCTCCTGGTGATGGGTATACATGCCAAAGGAAATTTCACACTTTCCCATGTGGGAACTCATATAAGAACATTCATTTTAGCTTTATTGGGTGGGGAGGTCAAGGTCAAACTGAATATGATTATTAAGGAAAAAGCACATGTTCACAGTTTAGATGCAGAAGAATGATACATATTTCTTTTCCAAAATGATTCTTTAGTGATAACTCCTAAAATATGTTCTCAACAGTTTCCTACTGAAGTTTAGCACATATCTACTTAGGAAGCTATATAAAAAGATGGCAATCTCACCTGAGTTTTCTTCTTTAAGAGAGTTTGTATAATTTATATAATTAACATTAAGAATGATGAAGGAACAGTTCCGAGTATCCAGGAGACCAAGTTAAAACTAAATGAAGATGCTTTCATGACTTAAGCACAGAATGTTAGGCTATAAACTCATTTGAAATCAAATGAAGAAACTGTTTAAAAAGGCGAGTGCCACCAACCAGACTTTTCCCGTGCTGGCCTCCCATTCCTGGATTGACAGCCTTTCAGGTCAGCAAGAAGGGAACTGCAGGGCTGCCCACTCCACGTTGAGTTACACGAAAACATGGAAGGTGGTAGCATATGCGTTAAGAAATACATTTAGTTTTAAAGGGCAAAGAAAGGAGTTTTAAAAGGTGATGATGCTTGAAGTATGAGTGCCCCTTACAGTTCCATGTGAAAAAACAAGAAGTGTTTTCTCTAATTGCTTCGCAACAGTTCAATGAAAGCAAAATATCAAATCTAAGACGGTGCTAGAGTTCTTCCACAGGGGCAAGAATTAATGCAAGTTCTTGAACTTTTTTTCGATCTAGAGAAAGATGGGGGGAGAGTGATAGAGATAAAAATAGAGTAGGAGAGAGAGAAACAAAAACTAATATTCCAGGCAGGGAAATACTTATAAAACCTTTTATATGTCAAAGTTATGATTTCACAACATAACACACTAATGCAAAATCCAGTAGCACCTGTAAGATTTAAGTAAATGCTGCCATCACTTAAATGTTTTTAAATATCTGAAAAAGACTGAAGGGAGGGGGAAAAGGGATAAAGTACATTCTCCAGAGAACAATAAATGTATTTCAAAATAAAAACTGTATTTTGTTTTTCAGGGTTTTTTTTTTGTACAATAATTCATGGGTTTGATAACTTTGTACACAATGGGTCAATCTCTGCCCTCTCCTTCTGTGTTACTTCAGGTTCACAAGCTCAGGGCATAGTCCCCAACATTATTTTCAGATAAGGATATTACCACAGTTTGATCTAAATATAGATACATTACATAATACTTGTCTCTGGGAAAATCAAATTTTAATATGCAAACGTTTATTTATATAATACAGAAACGGAAAACACTGCAGTAGGCACACAACCTAATTCTGACTTGTAGATGATGATGATGATGCCTAAATGCTCTCCTACTGTAAATGAATGTTGAAAATATTTTTTAATCAGAAGATTTTATTTATATGTGCACTTGTGTCCACCTTATCCCATACACTATACATGTATAATGACAATCTGGGAATTAAAAGGTGCAGCCCTCAAGAAAGTGTTAAGTCACTAAAAAGAGAAACAATTATCCTCTATTGGACAAGGAAAAAAACTCACAAAATTTCCAATTTTAAATTTCATATCAGTAGGAAAATATTAAAAATAATTTTCCGTATATACATATCGGTATATGTATATATTGAATTACACATATGTCTCACATATCGATACACTCCAAGCAGAGACATTTGGATGAATTATTTTCCCATTAAATGACATCTATGTCAAACTTTAAAAATATTGTATTACATCATTAAAATAATTCACTTACCATTTCAACAGCTTACACTGTTGTTGGTTTTAATCTTTAATTCTTCATAACTAAATTCCCTGACCCCTAGTGTTAAAGTCCCTTTTTTTAAAATTAAAAACCTGGTGTTCTTTGTTACTCAGAAACTGATGGATAAAATCACGTCTTACTTCAAAATCCCATCAATCAAATAAATTTCATTACCTGATTTATCAGAGATATACCTCAGCTCTGAGCATATATACCTAAATCTCTTCTTCCTATAACAAGTAGGTGAGAAAATTATCCTTACCATGATGTTACAGCACATATAATACATGATGATCGAGTGGCTTGATAGAAAATTTTCAGAGGTTTCTGAAAACTCACGTTAGAAACAAACCATTTATTTTTCACTCTAATAGAAATTAATATGTATGTATTTACGTACATACACATACATATAAAACAAAATTGTCTAGTGTCGAGTAAGCTGTTTGTTGAGTGAAAAAATGGTTACAAATAGACTTCATTAGCTTAATTTTGTACTTAACAATTCAATCATTTGGGGGTACAAACAAAAAAGGTCAGTGCATTTGTAGACTCCATAGAGTCTGATACCCAAGCATACACTTTAAAAAAGAACCCTCCTCAACATCACAGGCATTGTACAGCAAGAATATATGTACTCTGATGCAATTCCTATTCCATAAGCAGACTAGACAGCACTTGGCTTACTTGTAAAATAGCTTCTTAAAAGAAATATATTATATAAAGAAATGCATGTTTGCTAAAAGTCTCTTAAAATTACATCAAAACAACATTAAAACCTGTTCAGTGAGAAGAACCAATTGTATTTGACTCCCGTTGTGAAATATGCCTAGTTAGCAGTTCAGAATATTGCCTTGTGTGGTGTGAATACAGATGTGGTTGATGTGAAGACCCAGGCAGAGTACACGTCTCCATCTCCATCTCCCACGATCACAATTCAGACACAGTCCTCGGATCGGCTGTTTGATGTAAATGGATTCCTTTGAAAAGAGCTATACACCTTAAAATGATCTATAATAAACAGTTTCCCAATAACCATTATTATTCTTAAATTGAAATGCATTGATCATTCAGAAAAGATTTCTTGCAAAATATATAAATAAATGTAACTGCATATTCTGTAAATATACTTAGCATTGCTAGGCCAGACAGCCAACGATGGGCTGCTGTAGTTCAGTTCTGTGTCAAATTTATTAGAAATTTAAAAAGAAAAATTTCTGAGGGGCTCAGCTGCCTTCATTTGTTGGCTTTAAAAGGTGTAATAAAATGGGAGACAATATCTTCTCGTAAATACATGGAATCACTATGGAAAACTAAACTCTACAGTGGACAAAATTGGAGAACACCAGAGTGTACCAGAGTGGTCACCAGAGTAAATTATCTTCCAGTATAAAAAAAGGGAAGAATTCTATACGCGCAGTTGTAATAAGTATGTTTCAATTAAAGATGCAGCTCTCTCTCACTCCTGGCAAGAATTAATTGGTAATGGCACTGCTTCTCAGCAGTGCAAAAATATCCTGAGAAATTATTCAGATTACAACAAAAGACAGGGCTTTCGTCACTAAGTTTTTGCACAAAAACACAGCTCTAGATATCGTAAATAAATTAATTGAAAAAGCAGATAACCTTCACTGTGTTCAACACAATAAGGGGATGAGACCCAGACATTGTTAATTCTCCCATTGGCTAATATCAGAAGAAAATAAAAAGATTGCATTAATTGTCTATTTATAACTTTCTAGTTAACTATGGCCAATAATATACAAGGAGGTAATTTGTAGTTCAAGTTTTTCATCTCTTTTTTTTTTTTCGCCCCAACTAGCTACAAGCAGAATTCTAAATTTTACACTGAAATATATAATTCCAATCTTCAAAAGGTCCTCCTCCTGGAGGAGTCATATTCAATTGTGTGTGTGTGTGTGTGTGTGTGTGTGTGTGTGCAATCTTGATGCACAGCCCAAACAGTACTACGTAGAGAGACAGTGTATCTTTTCATCTATTGGCACTGAAATGTTACTTTCCTTAGCTGCATTCTAGTAGCTTGGCCAAATTATCTCGTAATTCTGTTAGTTCAAATATCTTTCCGTCAAGAATTTCTAAAAGTGTCTTCAGGTTATTACGAAAAGCTTCTTGTTCGTTCTGACTTTTCTCCAGACGTTGTTCTAAATCGGACAGTTGTCCCTCCAGGTCTTTGTTCCGAATTTCTACTTCCTTTAGAAACAAAAGTGCAACATATAGATTAGTTCATCACTTAGAAAACAATAGAACTTTCTGTTATGTATTATCGGGCAGTCATTGCATCCTGATGATTAGAATGTGCTTCTGAATGTTAACAAAATGTAGGGAGCTTAGATTTGGTCATCCACAGGCTTTTATTATGACTTTATTATTCATGACTGGTTAGCTCATTTATCCATCTCTCTACCTAACAAAAATTTCCTGACTTCTTACTCTGTGTTAAACAATATTTCCAAAACCAAGATAGAATTAACACAATGCCTCCAACCATTAGGAAAGAAGCAGCAAATAAGCCTACAGTCATTAAAGAAGAGAAATAATAAAGATGAGACCAGTAATTAATGAAAAAAAGGAAATCCCTAAGGCTTGGAGTTGGAAAGGATTATGAAACAAACCACCGGCAAGTCTACCAAAGGAAATGCAAGAGAAGATGAAATAACATAAATAAGGAAGGAAATGAGTGAAATTATAAAAGAACCAGTGGAAATAAAAATAATAACAGAATACTCTGAAAAACTGGACTACTATAAAATTGAAAACCTACAAGAAACAGACACGTTTCTGGAAACACACTACCGACCTAAACTTACAGAACTCAGATAGAAAATGAGGACGGACCTATAACAAAAGAAGAAATTTATTAGGGCATTAAAATACTCCCAATAAAATGTCTTGGTGCAGGTAATTCCAGTGGTGAATTCTACCAAACACTTAGAGAAGAGTTGCTACTAATACTACTGAAACTATTCCAGAGCGCAGGAAAGGCTGGAGTCCTCCTGGATTCATTTTATGAAGAGAGTATAATTTTAATACCCAACCCAGTCAAAGCCATCACTAAAAAAGAAAACTGTGGACCAATATTACTCATAAACAAAGATGTAAAAATTCTCAACAAACTCCTACCCAATACAATCTCCATCCCTCTCTCTCTATATATATATACACACACACATACATACATACACCCATATCCAAATACATACACACGCTCATAAATATATACGACCAAGCGGGATTAATGGTTTACAAGGATGATTGATCATCAGAAAAACTATCAATGTAATCTACCACATTAAACAAAAATATCACATGATCATATTGATCAAAGTAGAAAAGGCAGATGACAAAATTCAACACTCATTTCTGATAAAAATCCTTAATGTAATAGGACTAGCAGGGAAATCCCACAACATAATTAAGAGTATATATGCAATACTAAGGCCCAAAATTAGTCCCAACAGAGAGACTGAATGTATTCTCCTTTCAATGAGGAACCAGACAAAGATGCCCTTTATTAACACTCCCTTTCAATACTGTGCTGGAAGTCTTAGCTGGAGCAATAAAGCAAGGAAGGAAAATAAAACACATCCTAACTGGCAAAGGAGAAATCTTTCTCTGTTTGAAGACAATATGATCCCAAAGATTAAACAGTGTAAGTACTAGAAATAATCGAAAGATTCAGCAAAGTGGCAAGGTACAAGATGAACATATAAAAATCAACTGACTGCTTTACACTAAGAACAAGAACATTGAAAAAAAATCAGGAAAACAATGTTATTTAGGATAGCCACTCAAATGATGAAATATTTAAGAATAAATCTAACTAGAGGCATATCTATCTACATCGATAAATCGATTGATCTATCAGCAGTCACCTTCCTACCTACATATCTAACCCTAACAAACAAAATACTATAAAACACCACTGGAAGAACATACTATGGCCACAGATAGAAAGACTTATTAACATTGTGAAAATATCATTATCACTCCAAGTGAGTATAGCTATAATGTAGTCCTGATGTGGCTCGCATCAACACTCGTTAGAAATGGAAAATGTCACCACCAACTTTATATGGAAAAGAAAGATATCCTGTAAGCAAAATGCTCCTTCAGAGGAAGAACCGAGGAGGCCTCAGACCTCTCCATTTCAAAATAGACAACACAGCCATGTTAGTCAGGATAGCTTGCTACTAAGTCCAAGGACAGATACACAGACCCATGGAACAGAATTGAGAACCCAGAAATCCATCCATCTATGGACAGCCCTGTGACAAAGTGCCGAAAAGTCATGAAATGTGGAAGAGACAGTTTCATCAACAAATGTTGGTAAAACTGGGTATCCATTTAAAGTAGCAGTTCTCAACCTATGGGTCATGACCCCTTTGGGGGGGTGGAACGACCCTTTCACAGGGGTTGCCTGAATCATAACAGTAGAAAAATTACAGTTATGAAGTAGCAATGAAAATAATTTTATGGTTGGGGGGGTCACCACAACATGAGGAACTATATTAAAGGGTAGTGGGATTAGGAAAGTTGAGAACCACTGATTTAAAGAAAAATGAAACATGACCCGTATTTCACAACTTATATAAAAATACTAGATGAATCAAAGGCTTAAATACAAATTTTAATGCTATAAAGACCATCAATGAAAAAATAGGGACAAACTATGAGGCCTTAAATACACTGCATATATACATTATTAAACATAGCTGAAAACACAGACAGCAAAAGATAAAGTAGATGCTGGGATCTCCAAATATTAGATACTTGTGTATATCAAAACATTTCACTTAATGGGTAAAACAAGAACCTACGTAGTGGAAAAAAATTTTTTTCAATTTATATAAAGGACCCCAACAAGAAAAAGATGAATAATCCATTTTAAAAATAGGCAGAGGATATCAACAGACACTTCACCAAAGATGACATCCAATTGGCCAACTAACACATGAAGAAATGCTCATTATCATTAATCATTACTGAGATGCAAATCAAAACAACAAGC